AGCATGGTGGCTAAGCCACAATGGGTGTCTGCAATTTTAGGACAAATGTAACCTACCCGAGACTGCCCATGCCCCCGAGCTGCAGCCGGTTTAGCTGTCAAATAAAAATAACTTAAGGCATGCCACCTTGTCATCATCCCTTTCCTGGCTCTCCTTTGGGTCCCCAAGGCTGTTCAAAAACTGAATGCTGGAGACTGTCAGACAAACAAGTCTGGACCTCAGGGTAGACCTGACCAGAAAGTAATACCTATTCTTGGTTTTGCATGGCAGGGAGAAAGCGTTTTATCTATCATCCAATCATGATAGGTGTTTGAGATAAAGCCCTGTGAAGCACCACCCCCCACAGCTCCACCCCTTGAAACGGGAATTTCAGGATCACTGGCAGCACTGGAAAAGATGATTGTGGCAACGCAGCACATGGTACCATAGGATGATTTCCTTGTGAGAACTTGTTTTGGGTTTACCGCCTGACCAAACAGCATCACCACCATCATCTGTAAAATATTAACATTTCCAGGAGCAGGAAAGTGGTACTGAGACGGATTGCCCAGTGTCAGTGTGGGGTTTACTTCTTTGAAGACTGAACGAAGGAGGCGACATGATTAATTCAAATAGGAGTCTCTTTTTCTCTTCATTCGATTTGGGGATTGCAATGTCACTTTAGATCAAAACCTAAGACAGTTTACCTAGGTTATGAGAAAATAGAAGTGTTAAAACAAAAAAGAAGCCAAATTTGAGAGGAAGGAGATGTTGAACTTGGGTCTGTATTTGTGAAGAAGAATTGTTTGGAATTTTATAAAAGCAAAGAACACAAACATCACCCTTGTGTTTATATTAGGACGTAAGCATTTGAAAACATACAATATGTATTTTAAACACTGTTCTTTTGAATTTTGCATTGCACCCAAAGAATGCTAATGGTTACCAAATTGTTCTTTGGCAGAGTTAGCTGACTCTTAAAAAAAAGAAAAAGAAGTGTGATAAAATGTGATTCTAGCATAAGACAAAGTTATAAATCCTCAACCCTGAGCAGATATTAATTAATCCAATGATCCTAACCTAGGTTGGTGGGGAACATTTCTCTGCATTGCATTATGTCCATCATTACATGGCAATGAATGACTGTTTCCATGGCCCCTAATATATGGACGCTTCTCTTTATTAAGAGAACGGGGTAGGGGTTTATAGATAATATCTGAGCTCATCACTGGGCTTCTCAGCCTCCTCTGTGTGTTTGTCTCCACTGGTGCTGGTTTTCTCAGCGACAAAGCATCCAAGCTCTAGTAGCAGGTTTCCTGCTGCACCCCGTAACCTGGAGGGCGGGTACCTTGTTGCGTGCGCTAACGCGGGCTGAGGGAAAGCAGCACGGCTCTGCTCTGCTGTACCAGCTATAATCAGCTTTTCAGATCTACACTGAGGACGTCCCCAGCCACTCACGGCATAGTAAGGAACACGGATGTTTGTGACAACCCATTCCTGAGAAGGGGCAGTTCTAGCAGCCCTGTGACCCGGCTTATTCATTCCGGCTTCTTTGTGCAGAGACATTTTGTTTTCCCAGCTCTTTGCCATGTGCTAACGATTAGACAGTGACTCCATAAATGAGGAGAAAAAGCAGTGTCATGGACGGTGGGTGGTTTGTTTTCTTAGTTCTTTATTGGAAACATATGGAGATGTTTATATATAAATAGAAAACAATAGAATACTGCCATCATGCTAGCAGCAGCTAATAAAATTCTACATGAATAGAAACCAAACATGTCTCTACCTATGCCAGGATTCTGACTTACTGACATCTGCACATCCTGTCTAATTTGGGTTGAAAAGATGTTTTATTATTTTAGGCTTTTTATTCCTAGTTCGAAGGAGATGGTGGAGCAAGATTTTTGTTCTGGTTTTTGTTTCTATTTTCATTCTTCTTTTTGCTTAATCAAATTACTTGATTAGCTGGGACAATAAATTCTGTCCAAGCAGACCTTGTATTGTGATCATGCCAAAAACTTTTTAACTATACACTTGTTTCACTATATTCTTTGTGTTTTTGAATTGAAAGTGAGGACTTGTGGCCCGACAGTTGGAAATAAACTTCAGCAGACAGGGCAGTGGAGGGGTTGAGAGCACAGGCTTGCAGAGGCAGAGCTCTGGGTTTGAACTCTGGCTGTTCCACTTACTAGCTAGGTAAGCTTGGGAAAGTTAGTTAACCTGACTAAACCATGGTTGCTTCGTCTGTGAAATGAGAAATATAATAGCACTCATAGAGTGATTGTGAGCATTACATGGGAAAAGCTATAAAGCATTTCACAGTGCCTGGCATGTCGGACGCACTACAAAAATGCTACCTGTCATCATTATAAGCCGCTAACAGAATGGTTTATGTGGAGACCATCCTTGAAAATCTGAGAGGTACTGATGTTTAGCGGTAAGACCAGTAACAGCAACTATTTATCAAGTGCTAATCATGCACCAGGCTTTACGATGCACTCTTTCTTACAACTCCATGAACTGGGTACCATTATAATCCCCATTTTACAGAGGAAGAAACTGAGAGTTTACACAGACTGCCCAAAGTCACAGAGCCCATGACTGGTTAATCTGAGGATCAAACCAATCTGAATAATCCCAAAGCTGATACTTCTTATCTCTCTGCTAAATGGGCTGCCACATAGTGTAGAGAACCTTTGGAAGCTCCTTTATTTACATTGTTCTTGATGTTCCTGTCAACATCCTGGCATTGCACAGTGCCGTTCACAAACTGTGGGGTGCCCTGTCCATGGGATATCTGTTCATTTGCAGTTGAAGAGGGTCAAGAAGCCCTTAATGCATATTTTGTTAGGAGCCCTGACAAGTTCAGCTCATGCAGTAACTTTCATTTTGGTCTACAAAGGTCTTTTCTTTGAAGATGCTCAAAGCTTCATATGTGCAGGCTCATTGCTCAAGCTTGGAAGAGAATATTTGTCCCAAGCCACAGATGGAGAAGCCAACGGCCAAGGCAGCATGACTTGGGGACAGAGCAAGAGGCCAGTCACTCCCCTGGGCAGCACAGCATGTCAGTTGCTGAGTCCAGAAAAGAGAGCATCCAGAGCTGTGTTCACTGCACCAGGCTGACGGCCAAACTACTACCTAGCTCCACTGTTAACTAAATGTGACACAAGTAGGAGCAAATTGTCCAATTTTCTGTTGAAGGAGGGGGCCTACCAGAAATACAGGAACCCTCACATTCATTACCCAACTCTGTCTTTATGTGCAGATATATTATTTCTTTTCCCATCTTCACAGGGGAGGGAGAGAATTTGGTATGGGGGTGCAGCAGGGCACATAAGGGGACAGGGTTAGGACTGCCAAATTCATGTCAACTTGCTGACCTGGCACCGGTGTGCTAGTTAAACGAGTCCTGAATGTAAGACATTAATGCAAATATTTTGAATATTATTAACGCTAATGATGCTACAGTCGTGCAGCTGTCACATCTGAACACCGAGGTGGTGCTTTTTATCATAAATGCCTTGAATCTTTCTCTGAAAATCATCATGAAGACAGAAATTCCTTAGAAGTAAGAGCAGAAATTTGAACAGACTTCTGCTTTGTTAACCGTCTCAGCAGCAGCAGCAACAACAAAATGGTCCCAGGGCCACTGAGTTCAGTCCTATGAATGTTGGCAACACCCTCCTTTAGAACCTACCTCTGTTCTTGCCCTTGTAACAGCAGTACACTTCCATGGCACTAGTTAGGAAATTGTTGTAAAAACATATCTGTTTTAGAGGAAAAAAAAAGTATGCAACCCTCAAAATGTTGTTCTAAGTGAAAAATCATTCCAATTCAGAACACACATTACTTACTGCTCCATCCTGTGATAGTGATGACAGTGTGGAGTTTGGGAAAGCATAGGATTTCAGACCCAGCTCTACTGTTTGCCAACTGTGTGACCTTGAGCAAATCACTTGACCTCTCTGATCCTCAGTACCTTTCCTATAAAACAGCATCAACCATAAAACTGCTCTGTCTACTTTACGGGTTATGGAAGAAGATCAAAGAAGGTTGCAAATATGAAAGCTCTCCGAAAGCCCTGTAAAAATGTTATTATTGATTTTTTCTAGGTAAATAATGAGGGTGAGAGCTTGGGAATAACTCAGCTGAGGTACTATTTGTTCAGTCTTGAAGAAGTGAATGGCTCCTGGGAAATAGATGGCCACGACAGTTTGAAGGACCTTAGACTTGCAAATCTTAGGGCTGTGTGGCAATTTAGCTGTGCACCCTGGTGACAGCCTCTTATATTCTAAGCTCTTGCTGTGACAGTATTGGCTACATGAAATCACTGTATGCTTTCTCACCAGAGTTTATTTGAAAAAAGTCTGCACACTAGGGCCTGGCCGGGTGCTGGGCGTAGAGTGCTGCAGTTGTACACCAGAGAGAACGGCATTTCACGTGTTGTTCTATTCCATCCCTCCCTGGGGGTCCACCAGATGGAACAACAACAAAATCAGAAACCCAAGACCAACCTGTCAGTTTGACGCCTTTAAGCCTTCGCAGAATTCACAATCAAAATAAGATAGAATATCTATTTAGAGGAAAGAGCTGCAGAGAAATAAGTCCACAGGGCATATCTTCTTTTGTCTGAGCGTGGCTAATACCGTCTAGAGACCCCCACCATGTAAGGGGAATTGTATGTGGTACAAGATGGGCACTTAAGAAAATTGGTTGAAAGAATATTATTGCTGGTAACAGTAATTGAGTAATTTTAATACGGGGTTTTGTATTTTTCTTCATTAAATTAAAAAAAAATCTTTCCAAGTCAATTAGAATTTGGCAAATCCCAGCACGAGTAATTTTGCATCTCAGAACTGTTACGTAATATGCAGACCAGACCCCAGGTCGGGCAGAGCAACATGTGTTTTGGCAACAACTGGTGAGAAGATAAAGTATTTGATTATTGTTTTTTTGATAACTCCCAAAGAGAAAGCAAAGAAGCAGCCGATATGAACCAGACACTTCTCTCTTTTGTTTAGGCAAACATTTCCAACTACAGCCTTGTGATGGAGTCTGACCTGGGAACCTTCTTACCCTCTGGGCTGCAATTCACTGGCAGTGAAAAGGCCAGAGCCATCATGGAGGAGGTCATGAGCCTTCTGCAGCCCATCAATATCACACAGGTCTTCGGGGCCGGAGAAGGGACAGACATTAACTTCTGGATCGAAGCCGGAGTGCCTGGTAAGAGCAGAAGATGAAGCTGGGGTTCCTTATACACTGCTGGTGATTTAAAATAAAATTTCTATTCTAACATGCCACAGTGGATACTGGTAGGTCAATTAATACATGGAAACCCTTGACTTTATTTTTTATTGAAGTATAGTTGATTTACAATGCTGTATTAGTCTCAGGTGTACAGCAAAGTGATTCAGTTATACATATATATATATACGTATTCTTTTCCATATTCTTTTCCATTTAGGTTATTAGAAAATATTGAATATAGTTCCCTATGCTATACAGTAGGTCCTTGTTGTTTATCTATTTTATATATATATCTAAAAATCCCAAACTCCTGATTGATCCCTCCCTGCTGCTTTCCCCTTTGGTATCAATAATTTTGGTTTCTATGTCTGTGAGTTTGCTTCTGCTTTGTAAATAAGTTCATTTGTATCGATTTTTTTTTTAGATTCCACATATAAGTGATACCATGTGGTATTTGTCTTTCTCTGACTTGCCTGACTTAGTATGATAATCTCTAGATCCACCCACGTTGCTGCATATGGCATTATTTCATTCTTTTCTGTGTGACAGAAGTATTCCACTGCAGATATACCACATCTTTATCCATTCACCTGTTGACGGACGCTTAAGTTGCTTCCATGTCTTGGCTATTGTAAATAGTGCTGCTATGAACATTGAGGTGCATGTATCTTTTCAAGTTAGATTTTCGTCTTGGAAACCCTTAGCTTTTGTCTACAAGATATAATCTGATAATTTCCAAAATTGGGGTAATAATACTCTCTGTATTTGTTTACCCATCTATCTTCTCTTTCTACAATATAAGTTCCTCGCTCCAAGAGATTATGATTTAATGATTCTGGGGTTGGGCCTAGAAATCATTTTTTTAAAATAGGTATTGTAGCACAAGTGACCTCCTGACCAAAATAGAAAAAATAGAGTACAAGGCAATTATTACTACCAACATCTTCCTAGTTTCAGTCCTGTGCTAGGAGATCTTCTCTGACCCAAGTAATTCCCTACCCAAAACCACGATATCTGAAATTTTACCATTAGAGATTTATTCTTTGAGGTTGGGTATTTGTTGCTCATAGTTTTTCCTAATGCAAAGACTACTGTAAGAGGCTGGACATAAACGAATTTACCTGATCAGTGATTCATCAGGTTGATATTTTTAAGACAAGTCCTTGGCAGGGATAAAGTTATGTAATAGGAGCAGGCCTGGGATGGTTGCAGGATTGAAAAGGGGAACTGTCTTAAAGAAGACAAACTTACAATGCTTCCCAAATTTGCCCTAGACTGGCCATGGGAAAAGGTTACTGATGATATTAGACCTCTATGACCTGAGGTTGTTCCCTCAACACTGTTATATCCATAATCAAAAACATTGTTAGAAGATCCATTTGCAAATTATTCTGTATTTGTATCATGCAAACAGGAAGTCCAGCTTTTGAATAGTTTCCAGAACCATTTCTATAGGTATAAACCATTTCACAGGTTTAAAATAAAAGTGTCTCTCTAGATCCATCCCACCCCAGCTTTTTATTTTTTCAGCCTGCAAAATAGCATACTGCATGGATTTAAGATTTTTAAAAAGCTCACTTTTGAGATATTATAGATTATCTAAAACATATTTTAGATTTCAAGGTTTGTAATAATCTTTCACAACAAAAAATAGAAGGAGCTTGTCTTTATTCTAAGGCAAGGACCTAAATTCTCTGCAATGGCTTGTGTATATTTTAACCCCATTTTGAAATATCTTAAAACAACATTTCCGTTTTCAGAGCTGTGCATCGTCTGGTCAGCCCCGAGACTCTCTGCCTACATGTCCTTTTTAATCACGATCAAGGCCTAGGGGAAGGGAGTTTGCCCTTTAAGTTGTATAGAATGATTTTGTTGAGTTTTAGATTTTTCTTGACCCTTAAATCTTTTAACAAGAATCTTCCTAAAAATTGAGAAAAGCTAAGTAAATTTGCTGGGAGTTTGATGACAGATTGTGGGTGAATTAGAGTGGAGACTGGGGGAGGTAAGAGAGGAGGTGAGGAGCTGAAACTAAAGACAGAAGTAGAATTTAAAAATGTATACTCCATCCTGCCAGGTATTTTTTGCTTTTGTTGCATCACATAAATGGGAATCAGCTCTAGCGTCATTCCTTCCATGCAATACTCCATAAGAGCAGTTCTGTTTGGAATTAACAAGTGGATTTGACTGTCTCCATAAAGATAAAGAGGCCTTTCCTCTTGCCACGGTGGAGTGGGGAATTTATGGTTGCTTAAGAATTAATGTGAGTATAATTTATTACGCTCCTGCTAGTTATCAGACACCCAGTTAGACTTTTTCAAACGCTGTCTGTTTTTATCTGTACAACCATCCTAAGAGGAAGGTGCAATTTTTCCTACTCTGTAGATGAAGAGACAGACTTAGAGGGACTAAGTGACCTACCCAAGTCCACCCTGCTCTTAAGTGCAGAAGTCACCCTGAGAACAGGCCACTTGGGTTTCAAGGCTGGTGGCCCTTTTCCCACAATATGCAACAACATAGGGGCGTCTGGAATGCTAAGATGGTCTTCCAAATCTGTGGCAGTGTCTGAAATGTTTATCTTACTCAGCTCTTGCTTATGCAAAGGATTTCAGTTCATTCTTGCTCCAGAATAATTTACCCCTGGGGAAAGGAGTTTGTTATTGTAAATAACTACTTATTTCTTCTCACATTCTTTGTTCCACTCCCCTTTCTGTCTCTGCAGGTCACGAAGGTTTATATAAACCCGGTAGTTCATTTAGACTGCAACGAATGTTTCCTAGAATTCTTTTTTATTTCCTTTAGAGTATTGTAAGACGGAACCAAACTATTACTACTTTCCCCTATAATTATTGAGCTAACTTTTGATGTTTCAAGTTTGGACACTTCCTAGAAGAAATAATGGGACAGTTTATAACTTTTGTTACCCATTGAAACTATCAGAAACTTCAGAAAAAGATGAAGAATCGTAGTTAATCTGAAAAAGAAAAGAGAAATATACTAGTTTTGTGTACTCTAAATTCTTGAAGATATGGCAAATTACAATAAGTTAAACCTAAAGATAAGACTCAAAATACTAATTAAGTTATTATTTAAATAACTGCTCCCCTAATTTTGAACAACTAATGAGAAATATTTCCAAACGCCATCCTTCCTTTCTTCTTTCCCTTTTTCTTTTTCTTTTTTCCATTGAATTAATAAATATTTATTGTGCCCTTCCATGTTTTGGGCCTGTCAAATTTCTGTGGTCTGATGGCTGGGCCGCAGTTTTTAATGTTCCATGTATACTCAATATTAAAATACTAATTCGGAGCACAGATGGAATTCAAATTCAACATGTTTTTCATTAATTATAAAAGCCAAAGAGAACAATTTATGAAATCGTCTTTAGAAGAGATGACACTCTTTATCTATCTAGGTGATGTCCGTGTGGACAGGATAACTCACAGAAATATAAGGCTCTGGGGGGAGGAAGTTTAAAAAATAACGTCTTAGGTGTATTTTCCACATGAACTCCCTGTCCCAGGTCCCATGTCTACCTCCTTCCTATTTTTCTCCTCCAAATCCTAGATGCTCTTTCAGGTTCACTCCATATTCATCAGTGTCTGCGAATCCTTCTTTCACAGCCCCTGGTGCTCTGTTGCTTTTCCGAATTTCTAAAACAATTCTGTAGCCTGCAGTCTGGCACTTGAATTACACACTAACATCGATCTTGGTTTACTAGGAGTTTATATGCATCCTGCTTCCTAGACTTAGTGATCAACTTTTTGAGGTTAACATTTCTATATCTTTGCCTCCTCTGTAGCTCTTAATTTTGGGAAACATTTAAATTCTTGTAAATCTGACAAGAACAAAAAAACGAAAACATAGACATAGTTGTTTTCTCGACAAGCTTTGGATCTCTCAGCTTAAGAGTGTGGAAAAATAAAGGATGTTGAGAAAAAAAGACACAAAAGAAAAAATACTGGAAGAATGACATAAATTAAGGAGGCTAGAGCAATTCAGATTATTTCTCTTAAAGGAGTAAAGACTGAGAGAAGATGTTGAATAATATCGTCTAACACTTTAATGATTCTCGTACATAAAATAGGAAACAGTTGTGCCCTGGCTCTTTCAAAGATAGTACAAGAGCATGATTCAAAGTGGTCCAAGAGGGATTTAGGTTAATCTGTATTCACTCCAGACAGCAAAGAGGCTTTAAATCTTAAATTTTTGCCTAATTCTCTAATTAAAATTTCCAGGTTAGAATGAGAAGAGTCTATTTCATTCCGGACAGGTCACAAGTAAGACATAATTCATGGTTCTCAGATGTCCTTAAATGCATCCTTCTTGAACACTTTTCTTTAGAAACTTCTATAAAATATACACTAATGAAAAAAATTAGATACTCTTTTAATGTGACCTGTGGGAGTGAGCCTGCCCTTATCTCGTATCTCCCAATAAAATTTTCTCCTCTGCTTCAGAATCTGAGAGTCAACCTTTTGCTGATGATATTGGCAAGTGGTAGACAACGTGCTGGAAAGAATTAGTGTGTGTCCTGGCTTCACAGCTTTGAACGGCATATGCTATCTTAGGCAAATGATGTAATTTTTCTCAGCCTCATGCATTTACTATTGAGGATTCTTGTTAACCATCTGCTGTATGGAACAATAGTAAAGAAGAGAGACAAGATTTGTATTCTCACAATGTATACGGTCTAGTGAGTGAGACTTGCTTATCTCATATGCAAGACAGGCATGGTCACCACTGCACCCTACCCCCCATGCATTCCTCCTCCTCTGTCCCCATCTCACTGACTGGCACCGCCTTCCGGAAACTACACAATCATCCAGGACATACAGTCAGAAACTCCCCAAGTCCTGCTTACTCCAAACCCCTCCTATTTTTAGAGCGCATTCCCTTCTGCCTAAGCCTCTCGTTAGTCCTCGCCGACTTTCCCACAGCAGCCTCCTACTAACACCTCAGCCTGCGTCCCTCATTCC